GATTAAGCAGCCATTCTCCAAGCTGGGAGAAAGGGCAGGAGACTTATTAAGTCTAATACTCACTGATGTATGTGGACCAATGAGCTCAACCACAATAAATGGACACCGATATTTTATCACCTTCAAAGATGACTATAGTAGATATGGTTATGTCTACCTAATGTCACATAAATCTGAATCGTTTGAAAAGTTCAATGAATTTCAAAGTGAAGTTGAAAATCAGCTTGGCAAGAAAATCAAAGCCCTTCAATCGGATCGAGGTGGTGAATACTTGAGCCAAGAATTCGATGACATCTGAAAGAAAAGGGTATACTTTTAGAATTGACACCTCCGGGAACTCCACAATGGAACGGAGTATCCGAAAGGAGAAATCGGACCTTGTTAGACATGGTACGATCAACAATGGGTCTTAGTTATCTTCCTATCTCTTTCTGGTCACTCGCACTTCTAACTGCGGCACTAACACTGAACCGTGCACCATCAAAAGCTGTAGAAAAGACTCCATATGAATTATGGACAAAGAAACCTCCTAGGTTTTCTTTTCTAAAGATATGGGGATGCGAAGCATATGTCAAGAAATTGATTTCTGACAAACTTCATCCCAAATCTGACAAGGTTTACTTTGTGGGCTACCCAAAAGAAACCAATGGAGCTATTGCTTAGGCCAGAGAGCCAAGGGAACATTAAAAAGTCAAACATGTCAAACGGCGGTTTCACATGATTCGAGAATGGAAATCAGAAGGTGAAATCAGAATTTGCAAAGTTGGAATGGATGACAATGTAGCCGATCCACTTACTAAACCTTTACCTCAAGTGAAGCACAACAAGCACGTTGAGGCAATGGGAATCGGGAATGTAGGAGACTGCCTTTGATTTCCTTGTTTAGTGTTTTAGTTAAATCTTGAACATTTAATGTAAGACACTAAGAAAAATCATTCAAATTTTGGAGTAATATAAATTTCATGCAATATTTTATTACTCCGTTAGCTATTTAATTGTGGTTTAGGATTAAATAATGAGTCCATTCGATTCTTGAAGTATTCAAAATAGGGTATCAAGACCAGTCTTGATAAGGAAACACCTATTAAGTGAACATTGAATATTATAATCGAAAATTTTCCCTAATCGAGGTCATTTAAACGATGGACGATTAATGACCAATTGAGATTAGTGTGTAGTCTGATTTATAGCACTGTTTCTTGTGCTACGAGGACATGATTGTCATAAATCATTTGCACAGGTATTGGTTTAGAACCATACTGGATCGACCTAAGAGAAAATCGTCATAATTATACTTCTCATTATGGCTATCGGAACCTATTTCCTTCACCATGAGTACGTATTGTGAGTTCTCTTGTTTGAGTACTAGTCCGCTTTGATGTTGTCAAACGTCTGCCGTAATAGGGGATTATAACGGCAACACTCAGGCTGCAAGGTCCTCATAGTAAGAGGAGCTACATTACAAGACTGGGAATGTCCCCCTACTAAAATAGGGAAGATGTCTTTGTTGTATACAAGGCCTCTCGTAGAGTGTGACTGTAAAAATGCATGGTCGTGCTCGGATGGATTTTAGAAATCATCTGTTTATTGACATCAGGACTCGGAATCAAGAAACACTTCTGGACATAATAAGGATAACGAAATAATCTTACCTTATAGTTCATGAAGAGACATGAAGAGACATAGGAAAAAGGTTGTACACTAAATGCGCACTTGTCCGGAAGGACAAGTGGGAGATTGAAAGGAATGGTGTCCTTTGAACAAGTGTATTATTCCGTTAGCGTGTTCAGAATTATTAGAAAGCTAATATATTCATTAAGGCCAAGTGATCTGTATGCCTAGGTGGAGGCCGCTTCCGATCAGTAATATTAATGTATAATTAATATTACAGCTTAATCTTGACTGAACCCTTCGGGTCAAACCCTAGAAAATATACAAACTAACTCGACGAATTCATTCGGAAGAAATTAATTCGTCGCCCGAGTGTTAAATATTTAGACGTCGGAAATTCGAGCTTAGAGCGTCGGAAGTCGAGTCAAAAAATAGTAAAATACGAGACATGAAAATAATAATAAATAAACAAGACCAAAATACCCCTAGAATCGGAATGCCCCGAGAAAACCAAGTGCTAAGGGCATTCGATATAGCATGGTGGCTACAATGCGCACCAAGCCGAGCCTAGGTTGGCTGGTGCGTGCTAGTGCACTAATGCTAGCATCGCAAGGCTAGCAGCGCTGGGCCAAGGCACACAAGGAGCATCAGCTCTCAGCAGCAGGCCGCTGGCTGAGAGCACGAGCAGCCCGCACAAGCCGTGTTGGGCTTGCTGGCCAGCAGCGCAAGTAGCTCGCATGCTTGTGCTGGGCCTGCTGGCAGCCGCGCATGGCAGCCCACCTTAGGTGCCTTGGTGCCCAAGTGTGGTGCCATGTGGCGCAATTTAAGAGGAGGTTTGAAGGGTGTGTTGGCCGGTTTTTGGAGAGGGAGTGGGGATCAAGTTTGGTCCCCCCTCCTCCAAATGGTCCGCACCTAACCTCTCTCATGAGCTTGCCACTTGTTGATTTATTACTAGTTTGTTTATTAATTTTATTTTAGCTTTAAAATAAAATGGAAAAATCAAATTCTCCCACATTGATGGGAGAGCCTTTTCACTCTCTTGTTTTCCCTATAAATACCCAAGTTGGGGTATTGGGAAAATCACTTGAGTGAGAGTTGAAAAAGGCATCACCATTGTGAAAACCTTTAAACTCATTTAATCACTCGGGTTTTGGTCGGGCCTTGCTAACTCCAAGGTAGCAGACCTAAAAAGTCGGTGTTCGTCCTTTGTGGGTGGATGTCGTTGGAGGCTCGGTATTTTCGGAGCTAAAGCTTTCAAATAAGAGCCCATTAGGTAGGGCGAAGCACGCGTCAAAGGTAAATTCCGATTTTATCCTTTTATGTTTATTTGTTATGCTTTATGGTTTTATTAATTGAGAGTGGTTCTTTGGGTTGGGGTCGTTTCCGCGGTAAGTTGGACTTACCAAACCCCAATAGTTGTGAATGGGATTCAAAGAGGAGCAAGCTGCCTATGTGTAAATGCGGTGAGGAAGTTAGGAGGTGTAAACACAAGGTGATTGCTAGGCCTATGTTCAAGAGTTGTGCTTGGAAAATTCAAGATCTTAGGTTGGAGCATAAATGTGTAAGGAGAAATATGAATGCAATTGTGACTGCAAAGTACCTAGATGAGAAATATGTTGAAGAGTGGAGAAGAAACCCCAGTTGGAATATAAAAAGCTTTAGGGACAGAGTTTTAAGTGACTTGGGAATTAAGATTGGGTACTACAAGGCATGACTAGCCAGAGAAAGGGCAAAATTAATGATTTATGGGTCTACTTTTGAACAGTATGCCAGATTGTGGGATTATGGGAAGGCAGTGAAGAAATATAACCCAGGGACTGTAGTGAATGTGGTGGTTGATCAGTTAGACAGGTCAGAGCCACCTTTGTTCTTAAGGATGTATGTGTGTCTGTCCCCATTGGTTAGGGGTTTCTTGAAAGGATGCATGCCACTGATAGGGGTATATGGATGCCATTTGAAAGGCTCTTACCCTGGTAAGATTTTAGAGGCTATGGGGAAGGATGGGAACAACAGTATATATCCCTTTGTCTGGGCTACTGTTGAGGTAAATAGAGAAACATGGTGTTGGCTCTTGGGGTGCTTGAAGCAAAGCCTTGATGATTTAGCTATGGGAGGTGGCTTTACTTATATGTCAGAGAAGCAAAGCCTTGTTGATGATTTTGTGCAAGTATGTAGAAGTTTGTTCTGACTTTTCTATGACTGATCATTATGTTTTAGTCCTATGTGTTAAGGTTTGCTTGAAGACTTTGAGGAGATGGTGCCCTTTGCTGAGAAGAGGTTTTGTGTGAGGCGTATATGGGCTAATTTCAAGCTACAATTTACAGGGTCCACATTCAAAGAGTTGTTCTGGAATGCTGCCAGAGCCACTATTTAGGTATGAATGAACTACCCTTGTTATACAGTCTAAAATTTCATGATTTTATTGCAAATTGTTGTGGATTGTTAATGTATTGGTTTGGATGTTGTTTCTAACTGTGGTTCTGTCCTTGTTCTTATTTGTGGTTATTGTAGAATTGATCTAGAATGTTTATGAGCATGTTTGGAAGTTGTTCTTATTTGTATTTCTGTTGGAATATTGTAGGCTGATTTTGAAATTACAACGGAATCCATTAGGTTCCTAAGTGAGGATGCATATGAGTATCTAGAAAACATCTCTGCCCAACAATGGTCTAGGCATGCCTTTTCCAATTCTTGCAAATCTAACATGCTTCTTAACAATATGTGTAAAACCTTCAATGCATGTATTAGAGAAGCTAGGGATAAACCAAAGTGGTTAAGGATATATTTAATGAAAAGGCACAATGACAAGTGGGAGGCTGTGAAAAAGGTGGAAGGAAAAGTGATGCCTTATGTGACTAAACTGTTTGAGAAAATGGAGAGGGTGGCTAGGCACTGGATAGTGCAAGTATCAAGGGATGATACTTATGAGGTTAACTGTAGGGAATATTTCAAGCATCCCACACTTGAGCCCCACTGTAATCATACACTTAAGCATGGTGACGTCTAAAGGGAAGGAAGCTAGTGTAAAAGAGTCGCCAACAAGTTTTAGGAACTTGTAAACCATTCATAGGGTGAAGGTTACACCCCTTAACGATCTAGGAGATCGTTAATTCCAATAGGTTTGGAACCATGACTGGAAGTTCGGGGATGAAGGTACAAATCCAACCTAAAAGAGATTGAACTTGTCCTAAAAATAGGCCTCTACTTTATTCTTCTCGTATTCATGTGCGCTTTCTTACTAACATGTAATCAATAGGTTAACCCTAAACCTGTTAAATCTATGTTGGTTGAATATTAATGCACAAATAAAACTATTATTGACGATCACTTGAATTATAATCATATTAGCCTAAACAAGATTTATTTTTTTAAACAAATCCGAAAGGCACTTAGCTTTCATTCATAGGGAGATCCAACTCCAAAATCGGAATAATACAACTTGGAAAATTTGAAAACCAAATACGACTACTAGTGTCCCTTGGCAAGCAATGTGCAAGCTCATGGGCAACTTTATTTCCCTCCCTACGAGTAAAAGACCAAGAAACAAAATTAAGCAAACCACTAACATCATATATATCATCTAGCACTATATGTAAGCTACTTCCCCCTCTATCCTGTGATTTAATTGCGGTAATCAAGCTAAGACTATCACTCTCCACCATAAGGCTTCTAAGCCCGAACTCCACAGCAGCTTGGAGTCCCATCAGAATAGCCTTAGCCTCGGCAACAGCAGGTTCCCAGCAGTCCTGCACCCTCCACGCAACAGCAAATTTCACTGCACCCTTCGAATCACGCACAATAACACCAACAGAAGCCCCTCCATTAGCTAGAGTCCCACCATCAACATTCAATTTGCAGAGGTCACCCCTAGGAGGCTGCCATAATACATCGAGATGAACCACCACCTCTCACATGCCCATGTTCCTCCTTTTGAAGCTCCTTCATTAACTTCAAGACATACTCCATTGATTGATTTGGATTGCACGCATCCCTATCAAATATCCACCTGTTTCTAGCCTTCCAAATTGCCCAACAAGTGGTTATAAGCAGACCATGAGAATAACTCTGCAGCTCCTCGAGCAACACCGATGCCCAGTCAGCAAAATTTCTGCACTTTGCACCACTATCCACGTTCAACTCGCACTTATCCCAAATCAATCTCGCAGTTACACAGTCACGAAGGCAATGAATCTCCATTTCCTCTTCTACACCACATAAACTGCACATACCATCACAAATCGGAATGCGCTTCCCAAGTTCCTTCGAAGTAGGAAGTGCACCCCAGCAAGCTCCCCAAAAAAATATTTTAATTCGAATTATAGTGTGTGCGTTCCAAATTTTATTCCAAATAAACAAGGACCTCAACAGAGCAGCTTCATTTTCATCCCAACTATCTCCAAAAATTGCTATATACGCTGAACGGACTGAGTACTCCCCATTCTTCTCTAAATCCCATCAGATGGCATCTTCAGGCAGCCTAAAGCTCAACGGAATGCTTAATACTCGATCACATTCGAAAGGAAGGAACAATTCCTTAATTAGAGGAACGTTCCATGAGGCCGTAGTGAGGTTGATGATATCACACACCCGCATCCCTCTTCTCGACTCATCACAAGGAGAAATGATTTTCCTAGTTTGATACTTTGGGATCCACGGACTATCCCAAATTTTAATACTAATCCCATCTCCAACTCTCCACCTCATACCTCTTTGAACCATCCACTTTACTCCTCATATCCCACGCCAAGTATAACTAGGATTAGTACCAAGCTCGGAACTCAAATAATTTCCATCCTCAAAATAATGAGCCTTCAATAAACGAGCAAGTAAACTATCTGGATTAAAACTTTTGAAATCACGAAACCCCAAACCTCCTGTTGCTTTAGGTTCACATAACTTCCGCCACGCAACCCAATGAATTTTTCTTTCACCTTTCTTCTGCCCCCACCAAAAATTAGACACCAATGACCGTAATTCATCACAAAAGGAAGAAGGAAATTTAAACACACTCATCGTGTAGGTTGGGATAGATTGGGCAACAACCTTAATCAGGACCTCCCGACCCGCCTTAGATAGCATTCCACTCTTCCACCCTTGTAGCCTTTTCCACAACTTCTCTCGAACACCCTTCGTAGTTACCCTCTTGGACCTCCCTACCACCGTAGGAAGCCCCAAATATTTATCATGAATGTTCACCGTTTGCACACCCAATAAATTAGCTAACTCACCCCGCTTAGCTGTCGAAACACCCTTACTGAAAGACATCGTCGTCTTGCTCAAATTAACCATTTGACCTGATGCCATCTCATAACAATGAAGGATCTCACGGATCTTTTTCACCTCACTCACATTAGCCTTTGAAAAAATTATACTATCATCCGCAAAGAATAAATGTGAAATAATCGGGGCAGTCGGCGCACACGAACACCATGCAAACAACCATCCTCCACAGCTTTATTCAACAATCCAGTTAACGCCTCAGCACACAAAATAAACAAATAAGGTGATATAGGATTACCTTGCCGCATACCCCTATATGGAGTAAAATCCCCTGAAGGTGCCCCATTTATAAGCACAGAGAAAGAAACCGAGGAAATACAATGCATCACCCGATCCACCTCTGCAAACCCCAGTTTTAACATAACTGCTCTCAAAAAATCCCACTCAACTCTATCATAAGCTTTGGCCATATCTAGCTTTAAAGCAAGAGATCCCCCAGAGATCACCAAATTTTTCATGTGCTGAAATACTTCAAAATCTACAAGAATGTTGTCTGTAATTAATCTCCCCGGAGTAAAAGCACTTTGATTCAGAGATATAATATCAGAGAGATAATTTCAGACAATTTGTTAACACCTTAGTAATAAGCATATACACCACATTACCCAAACTAATAGGCTGAAATTCAAACATTTTATCCGGAGCTTCTTTCTTTGGAATTAACACAATGAAGGTTTTATTAATTTCTCTAGGAATAACATCACCTTTAAGTACACCCAACATAAGAGAAGTAACAGCATGTCCAACAATATGCCAATAAGTTTGACAAAATAAAGGGCACATACCATTCGGACCCGGAGCCTTAAGGGGATGCATTTGTTTAAGAGCCGAAAGAACCTCATCCGCCTTGTACTCTGCGCAAAGCAGCTCATTCATGTCATCCGTCACTCGACATCAATACCTGCCAAAGCATCACTATAATCGACTACAGGTGCAGCCAAAACAAATTGCAAAAATAATCCACCGCAACGGCAGTCACCCCTTCTTCACCATCATGCCGCACCCTGGCCCATCGTCTGTAAAAAGAGCAGTGATTGAATTTTTTTGCCGCCTTTGACTAGCTTTCTAGTGAAAAAAGCTTGAATTGCGATCACCCGCAGCAAGCCATAGAGCTCGGGATCTTTGGCGCCAATATACTTCTTCAACATGAAGTTTCTTTAACTACCTTGCGCCTATCGACAACCTGGGCAGCAGCCCTGCCTCCCTTGTTGAGCTTGCTAAGTCTCTTTCTTTTCTTTTGAATTTCTCTAAAAACCCTCCCAAACTCCTTATTACTCCAAGACTTTAGGAACTCGGCATAGGCAGCCAATTTTCCCCCCACTACATCCCCTCCAAGCAGCCACACATCCTCGATAACACCTTCACACTTCTCACTCTCCGTCCATACTTGTTTAAAGCAAAACAACCTCTCCTTATTCTTCTTATCATTCACACCCTCCTCAAGCACTAGTCTCAAAGGCGAATGATCCGACCAATCACGCTCCAAATTATAAAGCTTTGCCTTCGGGAATAAATCATTCAAATTTTGAGTGATTAAAGCTCTATCCAAACGACACTGTACATAATCATCATCGCTTTGGCCATTTTCATATGTGAACAAGTAACCCTTCACCTCAACATCACGCAATTGACAAGCCTCAATTGCATCTCAAAAACTCTCCATTTGCCACAATGCTCTATCTCGTCCTCCCTTTTTCTCATAATCATAAAAAATTTCATTGAAATCCCCAATGCAAACCCAAGCCTCATCCCTTTGAGCCACAAGCATCCCTAAAACTTTTCAAGATAAATGACGATTTTGCACTTCAGGCCACCCGTAGAACCCTGTTAATCTCCCAATCACACCAATATGGTGGACAGACATCAACTGCAAATGCACCTCAATCTCTTTCAACCAAAATAAAGCAACCCCCCCAGACCTACCACAATTATCCACCGCCACTCCCTCGTACCTAGGGAATTTTGCACAAATTTTCACCATCTCCCCACTACTCAGTTTTGTCTCCATAGAAAAGATTAGAGATGGTGCCTCCCTCCGTACTAAGCTCCGGAGGTAATCAAATGCAGAGGTGTTTCCCAACCCTCCAAAATTAATACTCAAAATACTCATTGGGCTAGGCAGGGCTGTTAAGAGCAGCCTCCGCCATTCAACATCCAGATAAATCATCACCATTCACCAATTCATCATTCTCAATCTCCTGCCACACACTCCCCTTATCCACCTCCCCCACCCTTTTCCCCAAGACAACATGATCAGCACTACTCATATGAGTATCAAAATAGTCCCCCTCCCTAGTGTGTTTCTTCCATTTTTTATTCCCCTTTACATTCCTCCCCACGTGCAGCACCTCCTTATCTCCCCTTAAATTCCCCTCTGCACTCTTTTCCCTTTTATTAACCCCTTCTGTCCCCTCACACCCAATAACCCCCTCCACTATCTGCTTCAACACACTAGGCACAACAACCGGGTTACTCAGCTGTATAGCTTCCCCACCCATCACAATAGTCTGCTGCTCCCTTTTGATCGTATCATCCACCTCCACAACCTCGGTTTCCTTTGTGACAAACAATTGTTTATGGGTAGAGATCACCGTTTCAAGCTCCTCCTCATCGCTTAATTTCCCTCTCCTAGGAGATGCTCTTAACCATCTTCCCCATCCCATTCTAGTTTGCTTACTCTCCTCCGACACCATATCACAATCTTTCTCAGAGTGCCCAATTACACCACAAGCGAAACACAAAAATGGCAATCTCTCGTAAGCAAACTCCACACAAACAGTTTTTCCTCCTTTGTCAAGGATACGTTGAAAACTTTGCACAGGTTTAGTTACATTAATCATCACTTCAACACGGCGAAAACGGTCTAACCCAAGCAGATCATCTTCTACCTTTAGCACCTCCCCCCAATTTGCAACTATCTCCTTCACATCATCATCAGAGCGACAATTAAACGGAATATTTTTTATTCAAACCCAAAAAGGCGAGTGGTATAAGGAGACTTTCTCAGGCTGCTCATCTCCCTCCACCTCTTTCAAAATTATTAGTTATCTTATTAAGCATGATTACAAGTACAAATTCCCTTTAAACATGCATAAAAGGCAGATGAAGCAATAAAAATAATAAACATCAAGCAACATAAAAACAATCATCATCATAATCATATTAATAATAAAGCATAATATTAATAGCAAGATCCTAGGCATGATACTAACAAGATTAATAACAAACCCTAGCATGTCACTTAAAATTAAAGATCAATTAGCCCTAACATGACACTAACATGATATTAGGAAAGAAATAGGAAACATCATAATAATATACATGATATTAGAAATTTTAGTTATCCCTAAACATGATAATAGGAAGCAATAAAAACATCCTAACATGATACTAGGAATCAACAAAATAATCTAAGCATGATTTCTATAATAATAAAGCAATAAAGCAATTAAATTACTTACTTCGATGCCTCGTACCTATTTCTAATATAAAAAAAATACACACGTTACTAACTTCAAGGAAAATAAATAATCAAAACAATTAAATTAAATAATTGAAATAGGTATTTGGGACCAAACCCTCGGAAATATCAAACTGTTCACGTCTAGGACAAAGGCAACTTCGAACTTTGCTAGGTGTGTCTAGATCTAATGAGTGAGGAATTGAGAGAGGGAAGGTTTAGAAAAAGAATAGAGAGAGAGAAAGCTTCTAGCTTTTAGAGAGAAAGAGAGAGAGAGATGATAGATGATTGAGAATCATGAAAAACGGGGAGATACGACCCCTATTTATAGAAAAAATAGCTCGGGATACGATAGAAAAGAGTTCGAGTCCTATTCGGAATAAAAGACTCCTATCGTCAACGACAAGAGTTAGCGCCAGACGACAGGAGCAGCGCTAGGCGACAGGGATTAGCGCCA